CGAGATCGTGCCACTGCACTCCCAGGCTGGGAGGACAAGAACAAGACTCCGTCTCAAAAATATTTTTAATTGAGATGGGGTTTCACCATGTTAGCCAGGCTGGTCTCAAACTCTTGACCTCAGGTGATCCACCTGCCTTGGCCTCCCAAAGTGCTAGGATTACAGGCGGGAGCCACCTCGCCTGGCCTTTTTTTTCGTTTTGAGGTGGAGACCCACTCTGTCGCCAGGCTGGAGTGTAGTGGTGCGATCTGGGCTCACTGCAACCTCCACCTCCCAGGTTCGAGCAATTCTGCCTCAGCCTCCTGAGTAGCTGGGACTGCAGGTGTGCGCCACCACATGCAGCTAATTTTTGTATCTTTAGTAGAGACAGGGTTTCACCATGTTGGCCAGGATGGTCTTGATTTCTTGACAGTTCTTGGATTACAGACATGGGCCACCATGCCCAACCGGAATAATATTTTTTATTTTATTTTTTTGAAATGGAGTTTTGCTCTTGTTCTCCGAGCTGGAGTGCAGTGGTGTGGTCTCGGTTCACTGCAACCTACGCCTTCTGGTTTTAAGCGATTCTTCTGCCTCAGTCTCCCGAGTAGCTGGGATTACAGGTTACCCGCCACCACGCCCGGCTAATTTTTGTATGTTTAGTAGAGATGGGGTTTCTCCATGTTGGCTAGGCTGGTCTTAAACTCCTGACCTTGGATATGCCCGCCTTGGCCTAGAGCAAAATTTCATCTCAAAAAAAAGAAAAAAGAAAGAAAAACCTGCTGCCTAGGATATATGCACCTAATCTCAGAGCACCAAAATCTATGAAGCAAAAATGGCCAGAATTAAAGGGAGAAATAGACATTCCAGCAATAATCATTAGAGATTTCAATACCCCCCTTTTCAGTAATGGATAGGAACAAGTCAGATTAGAATGGATACAGGCTGGGCACAGTGGCTCAGGCCGGGACGGGTGGCTTCACATCTGTGATCCCAGCCACTTTGGGAGCCGATGGCGGGTGGATCACGAGGGTCAGGAGATCGAGACCATTCCTGGCTAACACAGTGAAACCGTCTCTTCTAAAAATACAAAAAATTAGCGGGCGGTGGGGGGCGTGGCCCACCTGTCAGTCCAGCTACTCCGGGACTGAGGCTGACGGCAGGAGAGTTGTGCGTGAACCCAGGAGGCGGGAGCTTGCAGGAGCCGAGATCGCACCACTGCACTTCCCAGCCTGGGCGACGGGCGAGACTCCGTCTCAAAAAAAAAGAATGATGTAGAAGTTGAATGCTACAAACCAGCTGACCTGACTGACTGGAATACTCCACCTAGTAGCAGAATGCGTATTCATAAGTTTAAATGGAACAGTCCCCAGGATAGAGCATAAGGTTTAGGCCAAGGCCAGTTGCGGTGGCTCACACCTGTAATCCCAGCACTTTGGGAGGTCAAGGCAGGCGGATCACCTGAGGTCAGGAGTTCAAGACCAGCCTGTCCAACATGGTGAAACCACGTCTCTACCTAAAATTAACAAAAATTAACCCGGGCGTCGTGGCAGGTGCCGTAACTCGCCACTGTTCAGCGTACGCTGAGGCAGGAGAATTAGGTTGAATCCAGGGGCGGGGAAGGAGACGGACGGTTGTAGTGAGCTGAGACTTGGTGCCCATTGCACTCCAGCCCGGATGATCAAGAGCTGAAATGCTGTCCTCAGAAAAAACAAAAACAAAAAGTTCAGGCCATCAAAACAACATAGAACTCACAGCCTTTAGAAGCGGTTGAAATCATTCAAATAATATGTCTCTAACCACAAAGAATTAATCTAGAATCCAGCAACATAAGAGGATTGGGAAATCCACAATATTATGGAGTTGAACAACTACCATAGGTCAAAGAAGTCGAAGGAAATAACAAAATACTTACCTGGCCGACGTGCCTCACACCCAGCCGTTCCCGGCGCAGCGACACTCCACACCAGCTCATCCCGCACTGGGAGGCAAGGTCTGTTGGCGCACCTCCTGAGCCAAGGCAGTGTGTCCCAGCCTGGGCAAAGTAGTCACGACCTCCACTGGCGCGTAGTCCGGTCCGCAACCTGTCTGTCCCCATACACTCAGGAGGCTGAGATGGAAGGATTGCTTGATGCCTGGTGAGGTT